TCCCTAAATTCTAATGGCTTCACTGGACGTATTCCACCGTCCATTGGTAATCTATCAAATCTTCTTTGGTTAGATCTGGCCGATAACCAGCTAGAAGGACCAATTCCAGTTTCAGATGGATCTACGCCAGGGCTTGACATGTTGATTCATACCAAGCACTTGTATGCCGAATTTCTTTGTAGTTTACGTTTATTTAGATGCTTTTCTTGCAATGGTTATATTCTTCTCATAGTAATGATGTTCTCCATCAACCACAGCCATTTCGGGAAGAATAAACTCTCTGGCCCAATTCCATCACAACTTTTCAAGTCAGATATGACTCTTATACATTTGTAAGTTTCATTCAGTTTTCTATCAAGTAGGTTTTGCAATATATTTCTTGACTTACCTGGAATGTGCTTTGCAAAAGACACATTGTATTCTAAACTACAGGAAAGGCGCAGACATATCACGAATTTCTTCTCTAAATAATGATTTTTCTCTTAACCTTCAACAGCCTGTATAAGAGGGTGCTTCTCTTTGTATCTTAAGCCACCCTTCTGAAAGAGAGAGTCTCTGAATTCTTTCTCTCGTTTTATTTTTTATTTTAAAGAATTGCAAATTTGTTTGCAAGCTCCTCCTCCTAATCTTTGCTTTAATGTGATGAAATTCAAGAAATAACAGCATGAATTTTTGTAGATTTGTTACATTTCGTTTTCTTCTCTCTCTGGTAGGCTATTTGAAAGCAACCAACTTACTGGAACTCTTCCTTCCACCCTTGGACTTGTGCAAACTCTAGAAGTGGTGTGAGTATCTAGATCAAGTACTGAAGTGAACTCTTGTTGAAGTTTTTGCTGTAAGTGAATTTCTACAGGGTTTTCGATGCTGAGAGATGAATTTATTGTTTTGGCTACAGACGCTTTGACAACAATTCACTAGATGGGCATCTTCCACTGAATCTCAACAATCTTACAAGTGTTCAAGATCTGTAAGCTATGAACAGAAAAGGCTGATAGTCTTCTGCATTTGTTTTTCTAGGAGGGAAAGGAACTATTATCTTCTCTTAATGAAGAGCATTTGGTGTTGATTTTCAGGTTTTTGTCCAACAATAAACTGACTGGACCTCTGCCTAACCTTACCGGCATGGACAGGTTGAACACCTTGTAAGTAAGAAATGCTTTAGTAACTCTACCCACAATATAATGATTCTTTAGTCTTCTCAAACTACATTTGGTTGCCCCTGTTTTCTTATTCATTGTTCCTTGTGTATTTTTGTGTGTATCCAAGTGAAATTCTGCTCATCATAGCTATCTTGTTTAGTAGCCATACACGATTTTATTGTCATAACTAATCTTGGTTCTCTTACATGATCCTGCAGAAACTTGAGTGATAATAATTTTGATTTAGCAGATGTTCCTTCATGGTTTCCAGCCCTGCCAGCCTTAACAACATTGTATTTTCCTCTCTCTCTCTCCTATTCCTTCTGTACCAACATAGGAACATGAAATTAAACTGAACATTTAAATATCATAACTGTTATAACTGTAGAACCAAAGTCCATTTTCTAGCATTCGACTTAGTCTAGGACCATCATTCTTTAATATCATAAGTACTTCTGTCTGTATATCTTCTTTCTCACAGGTATTTTTATGTAGACGGGAGAATAATCAATTTATTTGTTTGGCAGAATGATGGAACATACACGACTTCAAGGTCAAGTTCCTGCCACATTCTTTGAGCTTCCAAATTTGCAGACAGTGTGAGTGAGCTTGACCTTATGTAGCACCAATTGTTCTGGAAATGTGGATCCAAATAAAAGAAGTCACATAGTTGTCACAATCTGGATATGATAGTTAGATTTTTGACCCCTTTTGCTGTTATTTTGTTGATAGGGTACTAAAAGGCAACCGACTTAATGGTACCTTGGACATTGGGCCAAGCTTTAGCAACCAGCTGAAAACCATAGATTTGCAGGACAATGACATTACTGGTTTCAATGACAGAGGCAGAACATACAAATTTGACATAATGTAATCCAGAATACTTTTAACATCTTTCTGGACATGTTTTTCCCTTTCTATTTTGCTGAATGAGTAGGCTTGGATTCCCATACTCGTTGTAAGTTAAATTGCCGCAGATACATTTAGTTAATGTTAAAATTATTAATGTTCTAAACATCACTGAAGCTCTTTCTACCAATTTCTGCAGACTTGTGGACAATCCAGTATGTACGGCGACAGAAACAAGAAGCACTTACTGCGAACTTCCCCCATCAAATTCCTCGCCTTCGTATTCAACTCCCCCTTCACAGACCTGTCAGCCAATTTCATGCAGTCCAGGACAAATTTCCAGCCCCTCATGCAGATGTGCATATCCGTATACAGGAACACTAAAATTCAGAGGCCTTCTCTTCTCAGACTTTGGAAATTCATCTCGATATAAAGAACTAGAGCAATCTTTGATGCAGTTCTTCCGGTCCCATCAACTTCCTGTGGATTCTGTTTCACTAAGTTATCCAAAGAGGGCTTCATTTGAATATCTGCTTGTATTGGACCTTGCTGTATTTCCATATGGCCAAGAGAGTTTCAATAGAACTGGAATTTCTATGATTGCATTTGTATTTAGCAGCCAGACTTTCAAGCCTCCTAAAGAGCTCTTTGGACCTTATGTTTTTGGTGGTGATGAATATGAGCACTTTGCTGGTAATGCTTATAGAATAGAAGTAAAATAAATTTGTAAATTTCTCTGTTTATTTCGGTTCATCTTTTTCTATGCGTGTTTGTTTTCATCCAGATGAACGTGCCAACGCAAAAAAATCTAACATTGCCATCAAAATAGGAGCAGCAGCTGGTGCTTCAGTGCTGCTTTTACTATTACTGCTCACTGGGATTTATGCTTATCGTCAGAAGAAGAGAGCAGAAGGAGCAACCAAAGAGAGCAATCCT